GCACATTGTTTCTAATATATATATATATATATATATATATATATACATACATAAATACATATCTATACATATGTATACATAATACATTGGAATACCGTGGTAAATACGTAGCACTCGGATGTGTTTTCCAATGCTCCGGGGTTTTATGTCGATTACGGTAAGAAAAATATGTACAAAATTGGAAAGCCTTGTGATAAACAAAATCTGTCGTGAAAGTGCGTAATTTTTCTTTAATCCCGGAGTGTGCAGTGGCAACAGACAATAAGAAGAAAATGAGCAAAAACCGAACTAAAGAACATTGAAACGCCATTGCCAACAAGAAAAGCGTCCATGATCAGGTGCTTTTAGTTATAGCAGCTTAGCGCAGTCGCACACACCTTCCCACATACACATGGAATTAAAACAGCTGCTCGACAGAGTTTGTTTGAATCGCAACAACGGTGGGGAAACGGATGCACAAGGACGGTGGACCTACAAGCTCATCCCAAATTTTGAACAATGGACGTGTCGGAAAAGCGATTTTTTTCCTTAATACAAGCTTTGACTGATTATGGTATTATGTCAAGTTATTTCTGTCAAGAAACAAGACAAGGGGAAATGTAAACCATTTTGAACTTTACAGAAAAGCGCGCAAGTCACTCAGAATAGCGACAAAAAACAATAAACTGAAATACTGGAAAAAGCTGTGCAAACACACAAATAACGACCCGTGAGGATTGTCGTAAAAAATAACAACTTAGAAAGTTGGCCGCGTGAAGTCCATACATGCAATTACAAATGCCGCCTAGATATAGACGAAAGTAGAAATCTATTTCTAGCAACGCAGCATCAAACCAAGGGTACAATAGATGTAGCACGAATTTACCCAGGGGATAGGATTACCGCGGAAGGAATTCAGGTGACATGACGAAGCTTGAAGAAGAAGAAAACCGCACGGTCTGACGCGATATCAAACGAGATAATACAACCTTTCCAAAATTGCGAGAAAGACAGCTTCTGGTCTTGTTACATTAGCCTGATAAGCCATTTTGTAACTCGTCCTCTTATAGACCTACCTGTCTTCTGAATAGCATAGGCAAACTCGTAGAAAGATTACTGCTAGTGACATCAGAACAAGAAGCTGTAAAGCCGAGTTGGTTTTTCTAAGCTCCAGTTTGGCTTTATCAGACGACGATGCACACTTTGTGCTATCGAGGAAGTGGCCACTGCAGCATGAAAGAGCAAAGACGTAAAAGGATTCTGCACTGTCATTATCATCCAGACGCCTTCAGCATGCCTGCCCAGGACACCATTCCGACAAGTTTAATAACACGAGCGTTCTCGTAATTAGTGAAGATGGTAAACATCTACTTGACTAATAGAAGTTTACTGTATAATACAGATGACGGCGTTAGAGACCATAGGATGACAGCAGGGGTACTACCAAACTCCATTCTGGGTACCTTCCTTCGGAATCTCATATGCGACGACCTGGTCAACATGGAGCTTCCAATAACAATAAATTGACAGGTTATGCGGATGAGATTGCCTTGATGACAACAAACATCGTCTACGCTAACAGAAATTGCGACATACGATAGCCTATGCCGCATAAATAGGTGACTACATAAGTCCAAAGTAAAACTTGCCGTTGGAAAAAGTGAAACCATACTGACAACGGATAAAATGCTACTCCAAATGCCCAAAAATAGAGGTTGAGAGACATAGTATTGAAGTCTGTTGCAGTTTGAGATATCTTGGAGTAATAACTTCGAATCTACATTTGTGAAGAATATTAAGGAGGTTATGAATAAAGCCCACGCAACTGCAACCACCTTGTGCACTATTATTCCAAACGCAAACGGACCAAGACGGGCTAATTGTAAGCTTAGTACGCATGCCGCACCCATTTGTGCACGGAAAGTACGGTAAAGTAAATGTCTGATACAAAAATTAGGGGCGGTCTAAAGGCTTTGCACATTGAGAGTTATACGAGCCTGCTGCACGGTTTCAACGTCAGCTGCAACGTGCATTCTGGCTTGTATGTTATCTATCGAGCAGCTGCCTGGCGAGAAGATCTGCGCCAAGAAGGAAACAAGAACAGTGGAAAGAGGTAGGACGGACATCCTCAAAGTTACAATATATATCCGGCAGAGTATGCTAACGGAATCGCAGCAACGATGGGAAAACTTCACAAAAGGAACATGCTTCGTTATAAAGTTACACAAAAGTGACATTCGAACTTTTAATCTCATGTGACTACGGACAAGGTAGAATAGTATTGTGAGCATCAGCAACCTACACGACTCCATCTTGAGATAAGACGAAAGCGGTTCCGCAATGGAATGTTTTTTACCGCAGAGTGTGGCCACTGGTTAGCAGTGCACTGCTACTACGTTCAAAAAAAAAAAGGACATACGTACATAGATACAATCGTGCAAACATATATATAAGAATATTCGATTCTTACTTTAATTTATAAATATATATTTGCTACATTGATTGTTAGGGAATCAATTAAATTTTTGGCCCTAAAAAATGGTGGGAGTCTAATAAAACTCTTTTTATGTTACAACGTTCAAACTCTGTCTTTCTCTTTCTCTCCGTCTGTCTTTTCTTGCAATAATCTCTTGTAAAGCCATATATACAACTTTTGTATGTGTTATAAAGATGTATATACTTACGTACTAGTCTTTCCGTGTCTCTCTTTCTTTCTGTCTCTGTCTCTCTCTCTCTCTCTCTCTCTTTCTCTCGCTCTCTTTTTTGCGGCATATGATTCTCTTCATCTTGTTGGCGCGCTTTAAGTTACGCTCCTTGTTTACCATACCCTTGCTTACGTACACAAATGTATTTTCCCTCCAAGTGTGCATTCGTTTTTATTCATTTATTTTTTTTTATTTGCATCCAAACGAGTGCAATAAAATGCATGCATTGAAAAACTTTTTTTTTGCGTTATATGCATATACAACGCATGTTACGTATCAGTATTTGTAGTTAGTATACTATGTGTGTTATTTGTTTGTGTGTGTTTGTGTGTGTTTGTGTAAATGTAACTTACACTATTGCAGATATTTTGTAAACAATACGCTTGACCTAAATTGCATAGCACGTTAGCAGTTTGCGCGTAAGTATGTGTACAGTATATATATATATATATATATATATATATATATATATGCCGATGTATTCATTTGCAGTTTTTATTCTTTAGTTTAAAACGTGAAATATTTATGCATGAGATATATTCCAAATATACACAAATATAATATATATGTATATATATGTAGATGTATGTATGCGATGTTTTATGTAGTTATATATCCTATTATTACTGCTACTGCTGTCGTTATTGTTGTTGTTGCTATTAGAATTGCGTTGCAATTATTTACTCTCAGCAGTCTTTTCTTCCCTCGTCAAAGCAACACAAGGGTTCATACATTTATTGCAAAGCAAAAGAGGAACCATCAACTATGGCGATTGCAAGCTCTAAAAAAATGCTCTCATTTAACTCAACTGAGCTAATTTATATATAAAAACCATGTATCGGTTTTGCCGGCCTTCCCAAATTTAAGTTATTTAATTATTTTTCTTGTTGCCCCCCATTGACTCTGGACACACCTATCGTTCATCTAAACTTAGCCGTTAAGTTCTCTGGTCATCCGCTCATCATGAAATGTATCCAAAACAACGAATACTTTAAGAGAAGTGCATCATAACAAACTGCAGTAGTAGTTAAAAGCGAAATTTTCAAAAAGCGGGCGTGGTTCATTAAATGTTTGAAATCGGGATTTTATATCGCATGGATTGCTATAAAAATTTATTTAAAAATTGCGCTTAACTTTTCAAATTCTTTCTTGGCTAAATCAAATTATAATGCGATGGATTTGTGCATTTTTCGGATAAAGGCAATCATTCCAATAGTCGAAAAGAAAATTTATGAGAGAAAGGATAAAATCGTGGATAAAAAATTCGAAGAAAAACAAGAAGTAAGAACATTATTGTCGATTAAGGCCGACCATTAGATATCCTACACCACTTCGCCGAATATAGTCAATCAGTCATTTTTGTGATAGTACACCAAGAATTATACTTTATTTTTATATAAAGGGACATACCTTCTTGAAAGTCCTCACATTGCACGATACTTAAAAACATTAACTAACATGACAACCGGATTTAGCAAACTTGAAGAGATTTCATTATATTCCAGCTTCTTCCATCATAGGAAAATTGCCTTTCCCCTCTTGCTTTTGATATGATTGATTCTAAAAAATAGATCTGTGTGATCCAAATTCCCTACGATTAATTTTTACAAAAGGCGCTACAAAAGGCGAATATAATTTTCACTGAATATATATTCTTATATGATCGGAACAATTACATACTGACTTAAATGTTATTTTTCCGCTACGAAACCTTGAAATAATTCTAAGTAAAAATATTCTCCAAAACTTCATGAATGTGTCGCAACAGTTGATTAATTAATCTATGTTGAGATTATGTCCGATCTTCGTCGTCACAAAGGGTGGCCGCTTTTTGATTAAGCTTTTTTTTATATATTTATTTCTATGCAGGCGGTATGATTCTTCATCTTATAAAAATATAACGAGAAAATAAAGCGATCTCTATCCTCGTACTGAATGCCAAGAGGATTTCTCTAAAACTCCGTCTATTAAAAGGAGATTAAAACTTAACGATGTCTATCCTTTTATGACTTAACGCCCCCTTTGTCCATTTCAAATAACAGTATGCCTTATAAATTTAGATAGGATATCGTCGACCTTATATCTTGAATAGCGCAGAGCAGTGTACCTAATCGATCCAAAATTTATCATTTGAATCATTTGAAAAGTCACTGCAATTATGTGAATAAATGAATAAAAATTTTAGAATCTTACTTAATTATACAATTCAATTATTATATAAAATAAATTGTAATAGTTTTTCGAAAAATTTTGGTTTTCTTCTTCTATCACTAACATACAAATAATTTAACTTGATTTTTACTTAACTATTTACAGCTGTGAGAGCAGATCGGATGCGTGGCGGTAGGAACAAATTCGGACCGATGTACAAAAGAGATCGAGCGCGAAAACTGCAAGTAATGCGACAACGACAAATAGCCCTGCAAGCATTAAGAACCTCAATGGGTTCAGGAGACATGAAACCGACACCTCTATCGCCAGGCTATCAACAAGCATACACAAACATGAATATCAAACAAGAAATACAAATACCTCAGGTAAATGCAACGATTGATGCCACATCAGTGGCGGCTGACCATCTCATCTCATTATTGCAGCATTGAGAAGTGAGAATTGAAAAGTGAGAAGTCAGATTTTCCGTCCATTAATTCAACATTTTCACAGTAAAAAAAAAAAAATTGTCTCAGAAAATTGATTTATAAAAAGTATAAATTAATTGATTTCTATACTATGCACTTTAGAAAGGGGACTTAATCCGCTTATGTTAATTTTCTTTTCTTATTTTAGCGAGTTGAGTGGAATAGCCAGATCGGCATGGTTGGGGTAATATCAATATCAATAATATCTATCAAGTCAGTAAACTTAACATGCAACGAGTTTATAATCGTGAACTATACATATAAGATATAGGACGGCAACTCTGGCTTCATGTTATATCAGTCAACATGTCTCCGAATTAATTTGACGTTTTTTTGCGCAATTGCGCTTATAACGCTATATAATATTCACGATTGATCCTTTTTCAATGAATATTATACGATGGTCATCTTAAAATCGAAAAATCATTTCGTTGCTATCCATTCGACTGATAGCCGGCTTGACATATCGCATGAAAAAATCCTTTTTATTTCGCCTAAACGATTCGAACACGTTACGGTTTGTGGTCAAAAGTGAGGTAACGCCTCTCACTCACTTCTCATGGATTGGAATGTTCATGCCAACTGGTGGATGGATGGGCTGTCTTTTGACAGCTATTAGCTATTTCCTGCAATTTCATTATTCTGACTTCCAAAGCGATGCTGCGCCTTTTTAGTCATTGACATTGTTTAAAATTAGCAAAGCACCGACCGTCAAAACTCGTCATAACATCATCTTTTAAGTCAACGCTGACGTTAAACGAATGTCACTAAAACAAGCTACTGTAACTTAAAAACTAATTATCATATCTAGAAAGATATATGGGTCGGTTCAGCTGTATTGCTATTTATATAGCGGATCGGACTGATGTGTTTTTTTTTTTTTTGTTTTTTTTTGTTATGATAATGATATTATTTGTGATCCGTAATTTATCCGTTACTTGCTCACATATCATAATTGCATGGGTATACTTTAATTAGTAATGCGTGATACTTTTGTTATTAAATTAAATAAAAAATAATTAAACTAAGTAGAACTCCTAGCAACTGCCAAATTCAACTCCTTATCGACCCGAAATATATCTATATAACTTTTGCAAAATTGCTTAAAAATGTCAAAATTTTGCTTCATGAATAAAAGCATTTATACCGATAATGTAAAAAAAGAAAAAAAAGCGACAATTGAGTGCAAGAAGTAAAATAGTAAATATATTGAAAATAATGTTGAATTTATTCTCCTTTTTTTTTTTTTTTTTTTTTTTTTTTTTTGAATTTTAATAATCCCCTTACCATACCTTGATTAAACATCGCGATCTAATATGCAAAACATTTGCGCTTATGTTTGCGCTTTTGCCTGAGCGTCTATTCCGGTATATTCTTGAATTTACATAAAATTGTTGCATATCTTTTCAAAAAAAAAAAAAAATATATATATATATATATATAAATAAAAAGAATAACTGATTACTTAAATCTTACTTTTTACGACTTATTTCATATTCATATTCCGAACAATAGCGCATTCGATTGGACAATGGTCTTAAATTAATCTCGGGGACAAAACTTTATTTCAGTTATATGAAAATATTTTTTCATACTCTCAACTTTCTGTTAATTCTTTTCAATGAAATTGATTCATATACTCAGAAACGAATCCCTCATTGAATGCCCAGAAATAAAAATTGCACAAAATAACATTAATTACGCTTTAAAGGCGAAATATATTATTTAAAATTATTATTATTATTATTATAAATTTAGCCAGAGAATAAATTCTAAGACTAAAGTCTTAAAGCGCTAGCATCTAAGGCTTTCGGCTTAATTAAAAACTCTACCGCACTTGAGATTTGAACCCACAACCATTGAGTTGCCAGTCGAGATTCCTCACCTTCGGCCACTCAGGCGGATATATTTAAAAGTATATTTTTACTTTTTAACACTTCAATTTTGGTCTAAATTTTTAATTTACTTTTTATACTCATAATCCATTGCTTTTTTTATATCATTTTCCTCGCATGAGATATCTAGGATAACTCTCATGTTTAGGTTCGCAAGCGATAAAAAAACTCATTGCGCAACATTATAACAGCATCGAAGTAAATGCAATCAATAATCAATTATTTCAAAGTTATGTTAAATACGTCAGATATAGATTTTATTAAAATTTCTCTTCTTTAGAAGAAGAAGAGGGACAGACAGATACATCATAAAATGAGTGGTTTAGGGGCATATGTTTGTTGCAGAATAATGCATAAGAATGCTTGTTTCTCTCATTAGAAGACTTCCTTGGGTCTTGGGTCTAACGATATGCTTAAATAGAACAAGTAAGAAAATCATATTCCACTTTGAGGACCAAACATTTCATACACACCCATCACCTTTATTCTATAAAGAAAGACTAAGCAAGTAAGAAAATTATATTGGGTCATGACTGAATGTTTTATACCCATCACCGACCCAAAAAGAAAAGGTAAAGAATCAAATTTTCATACGAACGCCGCTGATTTTTTTCTATTTTTGGAATAAAGGTGGAAATTCATACGGTGTCGTGTATGTGTAACAAGCAAAAAATATGAAAAGCAAACGGGTTTACAGTTTTTGTTGTACAGGCATGTGGATGTGGTGGGCATATCCTTTGACTGGTTTGGACCATTTTCAAATTCTTTTGCAACTTTTTAGGCGAACGGGAGAATGTTTACACACACAGATACTACACGATTGAGCAAATGGACAGAGTAGCAGACGGACATGCTTATGTGCATTGCGAAAGGTATTGAAAAGAAACTGAAATATTGGATAGGCGTAATCAATTTTTCAAACGCATTTTTGTACAAGTACTTCAAAATTTTGTAGATTTCTCTGCTGTAGTTTACAAATACTGAGCAAAAAACCAGTTTCGTATTCCGGAAACGGAAGTAGCGTATCTTTCGACCAATTTAACGCCTGGTTATTACCAATCAGCATGGAAGAATTTTCAATGTTTCTGGTAAATTTGAGGTTGACAGCTTCATTTTTGCGGATAGGAGAGCGCTTACAACAGACATAACGCATATGATGAGACGGACATGGTTAAATCGATTCCGATTTTGATGCTGATCAAGAATATATATACTTTGTATCCCTAGGTGATGGGTATAACAAGATAAAAAAACTAAACTTTCATACTTTGTTGTCTCGGATGGGATCGGTTGATCTTTTTCGTTTGCACAGAATATATATCTGGACAATTTTATCATATTTTGATTGTGTTTTATGGATTACGAGCAAAAAACCCAGAAAACGGAGATATTCTCAGTTAATGTTGCACAATAGGTATGTCCTCTGACACCCGTGAGCCCACTTTCAATATCAACTTGCGTGCAACGACTTTCAGTGTTTTTGCCAAATTTGAACGCAATATCTTCGGAAAAATGTTTACCATAAGACCAAGTCTTGGTAGAAAGAAAGAAAAAAGAAATAAATTTTAAAATGCAAGAGAGCGACTGCACAAATTGAAAATAACACTCGCACCTTACTCATCTTACTTGTATTTTAAAAATTATTTTTCTGAACGAGTTTAAGCTGAATATTGGGTTGAGTGCCAAATCAATCTTTACTAATCTAATCTAATCAAAAACTGGCCTCTGATTATCCAAAAAAATTTGTTAGCACTTGTAAATAAATCGAGAAGAAAAACAGAGCCATTGTAATTCTGACCTTCAAACTAATTGTTAACGATATTGATTTGTAGATGTACAGATTTGTGGATCGTGACAGAAACTTTTCGATGTTTTCTTCGATGTCCTAAACGGACTGACAGACGACGACATTAGGCAGGTATCTCTCTTGCGTTGAACGTCAGTATCTGAATGCAACGTGTGTAACCGCACGATGCCCGCTGAAATTCGGTTTATTTATGAGTGAACCGGCGCTCTCTAGAGAGTTACACAATACCTATAAGTTAGGGGCCTCACCCCCAGCCGGAGTACCAAATTAATTTAATGTGTATAGCCAACTAAGTCCACTGTGGGGAAAGTTGAAGCCTGTCAGCTTAGATTCTTCGCTGTCTAATTAATCGCTTTAGGAGTAATGAAAACCACAGCCATCGCGATACTACGCGAAATGCCGTATCCAGCGGTCAGGACTCATTACCAAACTACAAGATTCCATCAGTAACCACTTCCCCTACTTAGAGACATGCAGCAAGCGGAATCCCGACCCAGTGAAGCTTAAAGTTAGGCTATTAGGGCTTTAGCTTTACCTCACGCGACCGTAGTCACGCTTGCCTTTGGACATACCATACAACTCCGTGCAGCCAAGTCCAAAATATCCTTCCTCGGGATATATATACGTCAGCGGATAAAGCTGATATGGCCTGTTCCATGCTCTGGTCTACGCCTGCATCAACGTACATTACAACCTAACTGGTCCTGCTTCAACTTATTTGCTTTTCCTCCATCTTTTCGCAAAGACTAATGCGTTCTTTTATAAACCGAAGAAAATTTCTTCCAATGCACCCCTAAGCTATCTGTGAGAAAAACTTGTGGCCCAGTTATAAATAGTCATTGATAATGAAGCCTTAAACACTTCTTCGCGAAGGACGCACGTCTACGCCGTCCTCTTTAGGCATAGTTTATCACATACTTTATTCTATGACACTAGACATAAAAAGTATGTCACACATGATTTGTATACCCGCCACAAAGAAATAAATTGTATGTATGCTAATTTTGCCCAAACGCTTGCAACAGTCAAACGGAAGTCTTGATCATTATGAAATTCTAGATTCCTCGCAAATCCAACGACAGAAATTTTCTCGGATACTGTACAGCTGATCGTATAATATCTGAAAGGAAACGAAAAAAAAAGCCACAATCATCCAATGTTATATAACATTCCAAATTTTTTTTTTTTTTTTTTTTTTTTTTATTCATGCTCTACTTTATTTTGTCATTCGTTTTCATTTCAATACAATTGTGCAAAATATTTTATTCAAAGCAGTGTTCAACCTGAACAACAACACATTTTTCCCTATTTTCTGAGAGAGTATGAGTTCTGTGTTGAGAGAACACATCCTCATAGAGAAAGTAATGTGAAAACCCATAACGGCTTCTACTACTCGTACTACACTTTACAATTTTCGTAACTATTTTCTATAGGGGCGTTACGAATAAAAGAGATATTGTTTACAAGCCTCTCGCTCGTCGCTTTTATTACCCGTCCATTGCCGGATGTAAGTGATCAATTATTTCTTTTTATTTATTTTTTGCATTTCATTATATTATTGCGTATTAACTCATATTATTAACCAAATCCCAACAATCTCCTCGACTCCTTGCTGTATGCATGATTTCAACTACGATTCTCAGATCTGTCCAATTTCGAATATTACGCAGCCATGACATTTGCTTTCCGTCCATGTCTCCACGGTTTGCTGCTATTAAGTGCAGGAGTTCCCATTCCTTTCCACGTGACATCCTTACCATGTGACAGTTTTTCGTTGTTTAATAAACTTTAATAGGTCAAGCTGAGTGTTTATTCTTCTCAGGACTTTAAGCATTAGGTACGCGATGCTTTACAATTCTACTGTAACAGCACACCTCAAAGACTTTCAGTCTGTTGATTGTACTGATTTTTAATGACCGTAACTACAGATCCACAATAAGCGCATCGACCACACAAAGCATCTCATGAAACGAAACCGAAGGGACAACCTAATTGCCCGGCTTGCCAGAATTTTCTGGTAATTCTAGCCGTTTTTATTCTTCTTTTTATTTCTACGTCGCTACTGCAGACTGCGTATAATATGGATGCAAGGTATACAAACTTGAAAAGCTTTCCTAGTGGCATTCGCATATGGAGTTTGCGTTCGGCTTATCCTTACTGAAACCCAAAGGTGTTAATTTTAATCATTTACAGCGTGAAGTATTGTCTGTAGATCCAGCACGGTTTTATTGATGAATTGCCCATTGACCTTAATGCCTGTTTCGATTGTTTCAATAGCTTCTTGAAAGATTACCTCAGACAGGACGTTAAGCCGAAGAGAAGTCAAAATGGAGCCCTGATGATGCACTCTTCTGTTGATAGGAATATAATTTGTTCTGACATTATAATCACGCTTTCCGTCTGCTTCTCTCCAATATAAATTTTTGATACCGCGTGTATCTTTTCCGTTAAAAGTAAGACTTTTTAGGATATACATTAATTGATCATGCTGCGCTTTGGCGAACACGTTTTCGTAATCCTCGGAACGAAAGAAGACATCTTTACGCACATCACTACAGTTCTGGACTAGAACTTGAATGCAACATAATAAAACTTCTCTGGTGCTCATGGCTTTCCGCAAGTCACACTGAGTTGCGGCCAAGTGATAATTTGCTGAGTTATTCGTAGAAATATTTTCAGAACATTATTCATTAGGGACAACATTCTCTAATCCTGATATCTCCTGGCATTAATTTTCTTTGGCATTATGACCAACAATGATTGTAACCAGTCATCAGGATAAATGTCTGCATCGTAGAACCCATAAAATAGTTTATGCAGAATATCCAGATTATCATCACTTATCAATTTTATAATTTCTATCGGTATGTCATTGTTACCCATGACCTTGTTATTTTTGGCATTATTTATAGCTCTTCTTACTTCGTTTTTCGTAATGCCACGGGTGGCCACGTAAACTGATGGTAAATCATCATATGGAAAACCTATAGATCTAGTATCATCTGCATATAAGTGATAAACATAATCTTCAGATAGCTGGCTTTTTCCTTCTAACTTGATGACTATGTCGTTACGGTTACTCACCAGATCAGGTGGCATTGTTTTTCTTTGCAAACCTTTTCTTTAGTTCCGTGCGTAAGTTAAAGTTGTCAAGCAATGATTGCAACTTTTCTGTGTCTAATCATTGGTTTTTTATCCATATACGCATCTCATCAGTTATATCCACTGGTTTTTCGGCTTATTTCGTTTAAAACGAAATGTATTCTCAGCTAGATTTCTCAGTATTTCAGTTGTAGTTTCCCATCCGATGTATGTATCTTCAGTGTAAATGCTTGAATGTAGCCTATCGTTTATTTCAGTTACTAGACAGTTTTTCGTTTCACACTCTTTTAGTTTTTCCCCAATGATTTGTTGTCTCGAAAAGGTGGGCTTTTTACCAGGGTTGCCAATTTTATTTTAATCGTTGCCGCTAAAATATTACGATCTGAGGCGGTACATCTGCTCTGGGGAAGGTACTGCCATTTTTAATAGATGTTCCAAATCTTTTATTTATCAGAATGTAATCGATTTGATTTCGGATGACATTTTGACTGATTGCCTACGAGAATTTCCATGTTTATAACTGGCCTGAAGGAAGTTGAGAAAGGCGTTACAAATTTTTAAATCATGTTCAAGGCAGAATTGGACTATGCAATGCTCATCATGCTCATTCCTCAATCCTGACCCCAAATTGCCAACAATTTTAGGTACAGGTTCGTTCTCAATTTTAGCCCTTGAAAACCTCTATTATTAAGTTCAGACCATGTTTCTTTGTTAGCTTTTCAGTATTTCTGTCAACTCTGAATGTTTCAATTTTCTTCCTATCACTAACCGCGAATGCTTGAATAAGCAAGCAATGTTTTTTATAGACTTTGCATCAATTTTCACTAATAGGGCTCAATCGGGCTAGGAAACGAGATGTTCTTCAATGCATTTTTTCGTGTTCCTTAGAAATAATTGTATTGTTACCAGAATAGTACATCTTACAATCTCTAGCTTAAAATTGTCCAGAATTTGATTATCACGTTGCACTTACACCAAGGATATCAATGTTTAGTGGTTTTATATCCTGTGCCGGTATGCGAAATTTTCCTCCTTCATATAAGCTTCAAACTTTCCTCCTTGGCGATATTTAACGTATTTTTTATTTTACCTCCGGGCATTGAGTTTGACGCCCGGGACGTGTAATCATTGTTTTTTGCCTTCTGAAGCGTGTACGTTTACCTTACGCTTATGCCATTGGCCAATTACTTTGGCTCATCCACCTCTTACAAGAACAAAAAGGCGCCCTATGTAAGCTCGTGTGTTGCAGTGACCATTTCATTCTCCATTGTCACCTAATTACTCGAGACGCATTGATATTTGCATACCATTCAGGTTACTTTTCTGGATTGTCCTTAGCTTCAGTCCTTCCCTTCGACCTTATCGGCATGGTTAACCCTAGTAGGAGTTACGCTACCGCCGGGATCGCTCTTGCAGTCCTTACGCTTACTGAGCGTTTTCATCATGACAAAATGACAATCTGTGGTGAACGGACAAAACTTCTATATTGACTTTTAAATAAAATTATAATAATAAGTAATTTGCTAGAGGATCAGAACATTCTTCTTCTGCTAAACATTTTTGCTGCTTTTCTCATTTGGCATCTCGACTTTATAGGTAGGTAAAGGATGTCATCCAGTTACTGTTAATGACTAGAAAACTAAATGATGTTTGAATGACGTCATTCAAATCTTAAATGATTTTGGAATAATAAGGCCTATTTTATAAAAATATATTTACCTGAGTAATTTTCTATTTACAGGTATCCTCACTCACTCATTCGCCCGACTCATCGCCCAGCCCTATAGCCATTGCCTTAGGTCAGGTTAATGCACGCAGTGGTGTGATAGCACCGCCTATAAATGTAAACAGTGCCGCTGCTGGTGGTGGTCGCAGCAGGGGTGGTGGTGGTGGTGGTGGTGGTGGTGGCGGCGGCGGCGGCGGTGGTGGTGGTGGCGGCGGTGGCGGTAGCAGTGGGTGTGGAAGTAATGGCAATAACAACAATACCAGCAACAGTAATAACAGTAGTGACGGTATTAGCCGCTTGGGTAATACAGCCGGTGGTGGTAGTAATTGCCACGAATCAGGCCCGGGATCTCTACAGAACGCCAGCGATTCTAAACTGTGGTATAGTGCGAACATTGTTTTCCGATTTAACAAAAGACAAGTGTATGTTTGCTATAAAGGCTAACGCCTTCTCCGAAGGCAATGCATTTCAAAATTATTTTTCGCTTATCAATTCGTTTAGATAGTTAATACTTTTTCGAAATAATGCCTGCACGGATGAATTGTACACCTTTTAAGTAAGGAATACGTTTAAGTCGACATTGTTTCATTAGAATTATTCTTATCCTAATAAGAGATCGTTTTCGATTTGGTATAGCAATAATTCTTATGTTGAAAAAGAAAAAACGGAATTCCTTGGTTAAATGATGGGCAAACGTCGTGTACCCCATATTGCAAACAATACGCTAAACATATTTCCTAAAACGAATTATTTTTTTTTTTTTTTGTTCTTATCTCGTTCCTTATATGTATTTGGCGCTTTGACTTGATTCTTTACGATGGGTGTTTTAAGCTTTGACTCGGGCACACATCCTTCTAGTACCGCCGATTCCATATTAGAACCATTAAGGTAAACTATAAATTTTAATATATACAAATGAGTTCATTATGATACTTTATACTATATATATATATATATATATATATATATATATATATATATATTTTATTTTATTAAAAAAAAAAAACACAGGGTTTCACCGATGATCAGGGAATTTGTACAGTCAATAGATGACAGGGAATGGCAGTCGCAATTATTTGAGCTGCTAAGAAAACAAACGTACAATCAAGTGGAAGTGGATCTCTTCGAATTAATGTGTAAAGTTTTGGATCAAAATCTTTTCTCTCAAGTCGATTGGGCACGCAACACCGTGTTCTTTAAAGATTTAAAGGTAACTTTCTATATATATAGACAAATAAAAATAAAAATCTATATAAAATTACTCAATGAAATGTAAATAAAAGGGACTCATTAGATATATAATTTTCCTAATCTCGTAATACAAAACATATCAGCCATAATTTTTTTTTTCGATTTCAATTCTAGCTCCGTTTGCAATGCGAACATTCTCTTTCTAATAGCAGCTCAAATATTTCCTAAAAAATTCTTCAAAAAGTTCAGGGAAGAAGATCTTATGACTAATCATAATCATAGAGGGTATCGTCGTACTTGTCTTTAGTTGACTTTATTCTCGCACATCTTCACTATATATCGGGACCATCTGTAATGCGTATCATATGCAATTCTTGTAAAGACTTTAAGATCGCCTTAAAGTCATTGAATGCTTTTTTAATGTCATGGATCCTGGATTGAACCATGGATCCTTCAATAAAATGCTTGAAAGACATAAAATGTGTGTATTGTATGTTGGAAAATGTCTTTAGTAATTGGGCCCAATTTGCCCCAAATGACTGGATCACACAATGCGACAGGCAAAAAGTATGCCTACATATACACGCACACGCGATTTAAGACGTGCTCTAAAACAGTAATTATAATGAAATCCATTTAAAGAAAATCCATTGCACACATTGGTTCTCAAATGCATTCCGGCACTCGGGCCAGATAGAAGTCATTTAAACCCAAACAGCACAAATCCAAACTTTATTTTTAATAAAAATGTCCAATGTCCTCATGACCGTTACATGCGTTTTATATTAGTTTGCCGAAGAGTACTAAATAATAGGAGAGCCTGCGAATGTGATTTCTAGTGTGAAGTTAAGCAAGTTAATGAACATCCATGTATGTGCATCCACTATCCCCGTTGTAACTATGTAAAAATCACTTGATTTTTTCTTAATTGCGTGAGTATATTAGTAAGTAGTTCACTTGGAATCATCACTGCGAGACTTTGCTTACAAGCCCGCTTTTCGGTAGTGGGAATAAAAACTCATAAACTAATACAATATCATCCCTGATAGCATTGCGGCAAGTCTACATCACAGTGCAACTTCGCATTGTGCAATCGTCAACAACATTTACTTCTCAGCAAAGAATTCCTTCAAATTAAAACATATTTGTAATTGTCTCTCAATTCTTCTTCTTGCAATTCGCGGTTTACCTAAATACAACTTGTGACCCACTATAACTATATCAGCCTTGTGAATTGCTTGCAATGCAGAAATATGTACGTGACATCCATATCTAAGGCGTATACGTGGGATAACCATAAAGAACTTTTGGGTACATTTTCCTGCACACCCTTCGCCTATCGACTGATATCGCGACTTATGACCTCAAGAGATTTTGCGTAGAAGAGAAAATTTCCTTTTAATTTTTAGTTTTCAACCTTATTAGACTCAGTTGGAAAATTAGCAAAGTCATCCCTTAAGTCAGTCTATAGTTAATAATTTTACCATTTTTTCGAAATAATGGCTTTGAAAGTGTAGGAGTTTTCAGCACCGCGATCGAAGCTAGTATGTCCAACCACCATTTTGAACGCAACAGTTAAACAATATATCGCTTTCGTCATTCCTAAAGCGAAGAAGAGGTAATGATAGGGTTGAACACTCCGTAGAGTGGGTTTATTCGGCTATAGATAATAAATAATTGTATCTGGTTTCTCCAGTGCAGCTTAGATCCTTTGGTTTTGGTGGATTGCCTAACTCTTTGGCCGGTTACGCAAAATTAACCCGTGCGTCATCGGGCACCGTAGGGTACCCACGTTAGATTCTCAGAGAAATCTGTAAAGTTTTCAGTATGATTTTTAAATTTTTCATTGATAATATATGTGTCTCGTGTTTCGAAACTTATAAAAAGTTGAATAACGATTGCGCCCACAATTATATTAAAACTGTATAGTCTGAAATACATAAGCATTGTTTTTAATTCGAACAATTATCTGTATAGTGCTGGCCAACTCGCGATTTGAATGAAACACATGCGATATATATTGAGAGAATTAATTTTCTTTCCATCTACACAAGCTAATGGTGAGAGGCATTGAAAGATTCGCCTAAGCCCAACTATACCAACGACTTACATGTCTTTTTTTTTTTTTTTTTTTTTTTTTTTTTTTTTTTTTTTTTTTTATTTACCAGTTTTCCTTCCTTCTTAGCTAGTTTGTGCATTTATTTTATAGTATAGTGTGCAATCGGATTGCATAAGAATATGAATGGATCTTCGATCTGTCTTCTTACATTCAAATACTTTGGCCATTTAACATAAACACATAACGTAACATGACGCATATCGTTATAAATAACGTAATAGACGTTGAAAAAAATACTATATTTAAAACATATGTAACTTCTCTCTTGTCTAAACTTGATTTTTTTTTAGTAATTGATCGCAATTTGCAAAAATTTTTTTAACTTTTACGATAAATCAAATTCACAAGTGAAAAAGTCCAGAAAAGGAATAACAAAATCAATAAATAAAATTTTTGAAGGGTTTTTATTTTAGATCTAATGTCATCTACGCGTTGAATTATTCAATGTACAAACGTGTGAACAAACGTACATACATGCATACATGCATATATATGTACATGCATGCATGCATATATGCTTGTTCAATATTAAAGTTCAAAAAAGGCAAGAGAGGAACAACAATTTAGTGTTAAGTTAAAACATGTTTTGGACCCTAGTTAGTGTGGACACCACCCATATATTTATATATTATATATATAGTATATATAGTATATATGCATAGTAGTTAGCCCTATCGTGAATATCACTTTCTCAATTGTTTTATTTTAGTTGTTGTTTTTTTATTGTTTTTCTTGTGTTTTGTTTAGTATCATTTCGCGTTTTTAATTTTGATTTTGTTTGGCGTCTGACCTACTTAGCAACCAAAGCTGAACCAAAGCATATGTACGCAACAACGCGGTCAATACAACGACAACAAAAACAACAACAACAACAACAACACGTTTACAAAGCTGATTCAACGATGACAACAGCAGTCACACATATAAACTGTTTTTTTTTTTTTTTTTCTCTTCTTATGCCCACCATCAGGAAACATATTAGCTTTGTCGTTCCACCTGTGCCGGCTGTTTAAATACCATACGAATATCCTATAATATGCAATACAAGTTTAATTAGTATAAAATTCAATATCCACTTGTCCACATGTCCGTCTGCCATTAGATCTAACGAGAAAGAAAAGTACCTACGAATCGAAAGAAGTATGAATCTATTCTAAATATTCATATGATATATCGGTAGATCGGTAAGCAATTTTTTTTTTTTTTTTTTTTTTTTTTGCTTATAATACCGGGCATCGATACTACTACAATATATCGATTTTTTTTTTTTTTAGCCTTATGCTACTGCACTAATATTACGAACGAAGAAATTCGAGTTCATTCGAAATCTTTACATCTTGAAAAAGTAAATTGAAAAGACTTGACTTTTTCGGACATAGTGAAGTCTTAAGTGAAAAGCATAAAAATATTCGCCTTAAACCGACTGTGAAGCAACTCTTTTGATTTTTATTTTTCCAGTGCACACCATTATGGTTATTGCTATTATATATATATATATATATATATCGTGACGCAACAGTAGCTTTACCTCGGGTAAAGCTGCGATGAGCCAGTCATATTATTATTATTTTTATTTATATTTTTTTTTAAAGTTCGCTGTATATTTTCTATATTTTTAGTTTGAATATACACTACAATTATGTTTGTGCTTGTCCCGAAAAAAAAAAAACTAGTTTTAAAAGCCAAAATATAAGAAAACAAACACACATACACACACACATGCATGCGCGCGCGCACAACCATATAAACTTGTCTTCTCTTTTTCCAAGCATTAAAGAAAAAATTCTCTTTACTTAATTATAAGAAAACATTTAAGAGACAACTAAATTTGTTGCTTCTGTCGACTTACCTCAATTTACTTATACCTAGAGAATTAAGCGTATTAAGTTTATCATTTTGTTTGCATCACATTAATATACAAGCAACGCTCTTAATCATCATCTTTGCAAGCGAAATTATTTCAATCAAATTCGCGATAATTTGTTAACCGTGTCCGTGCATGAAGAAAAGAAATAGTTTAGAAATAGTTTCGATATTTTTCTACCACGAGAAATACTCATCACATTGCCTATCCATGCAGCTTGATTGCATGAAAGCGAATCCTTCAATATCGATCGCATATCGCATACATATGTAAAAAAAATATTTTTATACTAATCGTTAAGAGCAAACCAAATAATTTAGTTAGTAATCCTTTTCTTTAGGTTTCAAAAACAAAGGCTTCATCCAATGTGTGGTTAGTGATTTGAATTCTTAACCTTAAGAAAAATGATATTAAGCAATACATAATATAGTTTGTGCGTGTAGTTGAAGTTTTGGCATATGAGTAATCCGATAAGAAGATATCACTACATTGACTCCACTTATTCATATCTCCTTTGATGAAGATCTCGATTTAACAGATCTAAAAGACCGTTTGTGCGACAAGTATAAAAAAAAAGAAAAAACCCTATCGCGTCTCTTGCCTAAGGAAGTGTTCGCTGCAATTTAAATGTCTTGCACTTACACTTGTCTCAATACTAAATAACTATTTGTCGAAATCCCTGACGATCTGTATGAAATTAATTATTGTCTTGGACATGAGACGTGAAGACGAAAAACATGTAGTCTCAATGCATTGCTTTCTTCTAATTTCGCAAAGGCGAAAAATAAGTCGCGAATTTACAAAAGGATGCAATAAGCGAGAAGGAAAGACAGAGAGAGAGAGAGAGAGAGCGAGAGATAAGGTATAGTAGTCAGCCAATCATTATCAATGACGATCCATACCAGGATTTAATCGCAAAGACGACAAAAGAGTCGCGAATTTACAAAGGGACGTAATTAGCGAGTGAGAGAGAGAGAGAGAGAGAGAGAGAGTGAGAGAGAGTGTCTGACGAAAGTGATTAATGCAATTTCGTTATGAAGATTTCAATATGATTTTCGGCCGGTCGGCCAATCATTAACAATGACGACTCACACCAGGATTTAATCGATTATGACTCACGTTTAATGATACATATTCACCTTTGGACTATTATTAAATATGATGAAAATCGTTGAGTTTTTTTAAAAAAAAAAAAAAAAAAAAAAATGTTTATGTTGTGAAATTACTTGAAGGAACTTTCAAGCTTTCAAAATATTAGAAAACACTCGATAAACTCGATGGATACTTAATATCGACTCGCGCTTAGACATCAAACAAAGAAATCATGAAATGAAGAAAATCTTATGAAATTAAATGAAATTTTCTTATTTATTAAAGTGATTTTAATGAAATTTTAATGACATTAAAACATTTATTTATTATATTAATAATGAAATCAAGTTAGTTTTTAATGCAACTTGATTAGATACGTTTAAATTCAATAGACCGGATGACGTGACTGATCAAATTTCTAGATAAATTCGATATTTTAATTAAATTTATTTCCTTTTATTTTGATTGTTGTGTGACATTTTTCTTCCATCAGGTAGACGATCAAATGAAATTGTTACAACATTCATGGTCTGATATGTTGGTATTGGACCATTTGCATCAGCGTATACACAATAACCTGCCCGACGAAACTCAACTCCAGAATGGGCAATTCTTTAACTTATTGAGTCTAGGATTGTTGGGTGTACCGGAGTTGGGCGACTACTTCAATGAATTACAGAATAAATTGCAAGATTTAAAATTCGATATGGGCGACTACGTGTGTATGAAATTTCTAATATTATTAAATCCAAGTAAGTCATAAAATAAATATTTTACATGAAATATAATAATACGAAGATAAGAAAGAAGAAAGTATAAGCGTAAAAGAAAAAACTTTCATAAATTAATGATAATACGATATTTTCATTTCGTTTTCCAGATGTACGTGGTATTATCAATAAAAAGACCGTTTTGCAGGGACACGAAAATGTACAAGCTGCTTTATTGGATTACACTTTAACGTGTTATCCCTCCGTAACGGTAATTAAATTACAAAGTTTAATTGTTTTGTTACAATTAAAAAATATACATTCGGACTTTGCCATTCCTTGCATAATAACAACAATAGAAACTCCCTAACGATATATCTTTGTATATATATGTATATATATAAAGATAGTCTTGATCAACATAAAAAATCAAAATCGATTTAATTTATCGTTCGTTTCTCTTCTAGATGCTTATTCTGATCTTAATGGCCTATATATGATATAAAAATTTGATATAAAGATTTTTGGTAAAAAAAAAAATTTTCTAAAAAAATTGATAAAAATGATGATGATCTGAAAATATTTAATCTTACTTTTTTATAATATTGAAAATTCTCCGCGGTTTTCTCTCCGGGAGAGTAGTGTTAATGCCTATATATCGAGCAACACTCATCGGATTATCTCAAACGAATATGTGACATTTCTGCTTGTATTTCTTGTGAAGACAGCTTTTTCGAATTCTTCACTCGTGTAAAAAGTTCGCACTAAATGAACATCAAACACATGATAGTTTGCAATCATTTAAAAAGAGCAGTCTACAAAAGAAGCGAGAAAACCCCCGAAGACTTTTCAATATGAACCCTTAAAGTAATGGTTTTGGAAGATTGCCTTCGAAGGTTGTCCAAATGCAAAATTAATATCAATTGAATTGAAATCGATTGGCCTAAGCGAATTAACAATGTGGCTTATATATCCAAATAATTGAATGCGATAATTATTTGCGATATCTATATATATCTAAGTTGTTTGCAAAAGTTTTGATCCCTTTTTCACTTCAAAAACACATTTATTGCGAAAATTTTGGTTCAATTAATATTAAGCAAAACAGTGATAAGCAAGCCCTATCTAGTGAATACGCTGGAGTACTGCAACAGTGTATCTTGAACAACTCTTGCACCAAGTGGCCAAAAAAAATGGCATTTTTAAACCATTCGTGTCACTACTTTTAAGCCGTTGCTAAAAGTAAAGCTGATTTTCTCTCTAAAAAAAGTCAAGTTTCCAGTGACCATTCGTTGCAGCTAGCTTTATAGCATGTCTGATGGCAAATAGTTCAATAAAAGCGGAACAGATTTTCTCAAGCACTCCAACTTTATGTAATGTTTCAGATAGATGCTTCACTACTAAGTAGCTAGATGCCCGACCGATCCATCAGTGGCATGTATATCCATGTAGCCATTGTTATAATAAAGAGCAAAGCGTTTCTTAACTTAAAATCATCATAGAAGAAAGATTTACATTCCGCTTGCGAATGAACGAATTATCTTAACATTAAGAAGATCTATATCCATACGAATAGTATGCAAATCTCGCGTAACATATCTTTTAGCGCATATTTTATGAAAACGATTTAACTTGTAATGAACGCGACTATTACTACAACTACTACTGCTACTACTATTACTACTATTGCTACTGTTACTACTATTACTATTGCTATTACTATTACTGCTACTGCTACTACTATTACTATTACTACTACTGCTACTGCTACTGCTATTACTAGTGCCACTTCTACTGCTTCTATTGCTACTATTACTAGTGCTATTACCACTACTATTACTGCTACTACTAGACAAAGCATTACGACTGAGAGATACAATAAAGATCTCCTAATTTCTTCCGTAAAACCAACTTCCACTGTCTTCTACTTGGGCAATATACTCGTTAATCCATAGCAACTTATGACGAATACAACTTCAGATTGGACAGTATACTTTTTAGGAAACGTTAAATTGCTACATTTGCAGTTATAACTTAACAAACAATCTCGTAATTCATTGAGAAGAGAATAAGAAAAAATGAAATAAAACTTTGAAGTGCAAAAGTGTACAGAGTGGTTAGTTGATGCATCTTAACATTATTCAGATAATTTTAAATAATAAAAATAAAATTTATCTGATTAGCCTTTGGGATAGAGGTATATACATTTAGCAAGACTTTCGCCGAGATGATGACAATCTTTCTTCAATTGCTATAAACGTCGCAATTTCATCCAAGCCATGGTAACTTATGAAAACAAAACTGTTAACTGGATCTTCGCGATGATCATTCATTTACATTATTGCATCCGTTATATCAAAAGTCAATTTTGTGAGGAGATTTTACGATCGTATGCAATCTCCTTCATATCATATCATATCATATCATATAATATCGAATTCAGTTGAGTTTGTCTGCTATCCCAGCTAACAGTTTACATCAATATCTATCAAACGTTGTAAATTGTAAGAAGGAAACGATTTTTTTTTTTCTTTTACTCTATCACGCCCACATTCAAATTTAACCTGTAACCGTCAATCCAAGTTTAGGCATTCCATTAAAATTTCTTGACTCCGTAGCTGTTTGGATTCACATATACTCATAGACCTGTAGTCTTATGTTGATTAAGAATACATATATATATAAGATCAATATTTCATATTTCTATATGTTGCTAATGAAAGGGCAAATTTTAGTAGTATACCGCCATGTTTTGGGTGGTGAGTGCAGTCGATTGATACATCATTACTGAAGTGCAGGGTGCACGTATTTTTAGTGTTTTTGAAAATTCTCACATATATTTTAGTACATATATCAATATTGATATTTACATTTCCTTTATAATATTTTTATTGCGATTTATTTCAGGATAAATTTAGGAGGCTGTTAAACATACTACCTGACATACATGCTATGGCGGAGCGCGGTGAAGAACACTTGTATTCAAAGCATTGCGCTGGTAGTGCACCTACGCAAACGTTACTCATGGAAATGTTACATGCAAAACGGAAAGTGTAAAATATACCAACAATTACATGCACACATACACGAATATACACACACATATACATACATATATACACTATACATACATACAAAAACACAAACATATACATACATACATACACATATACATTTGTAGTGCTTATGGGTAAATATCAACAAAGCAAGGAAAAGAAAAAAACACTCACTCTCTCAGCAAAAATGAACAGGAAATGAAAAAATTGAGGAATGCAAAAAAAAAGAAAAAAAAAAAAAAAGAGGAGGCAAAAAATAAACACACACGTTCACACAACTAACCTACAATCACCACCTATAACAAAGGAAAACATAAGCGAGAAACCATTGAGCAAAACAAATGGAAAATAAAAACAGAACGAAGAAGAAGGAGAAGAAAAAGAGTAACGGAAACACTAGTATAAAAACGAAGCAAACAGCTCTTAGCAAAAATAATAAACAAATAGAAACAAATATATATATATATATATTTTTTGGAAATACATGTTCAAGAAACAAAGAAATAAATAAGAAAAAAGATTAACAAAAAGTTTAAGAAAAAAAAACAAAAAAAAAAAAAAATATATATATATATAAAGAAAAAAGCATATATTTAAGCACTTTTTTAGACTAACCTATCAACAAGGAAAAATGAAGCATACTTACAGGCGTTTTATTATGCTACCAAATAAATGAAACCTTCGGGCGTTACAAACAAAAAGCAAATCAATCGTCTTTTTTTAGTTCTTTTTTTTCTTTGTTGTGCTAAATTATTAAAAATATGAATTTTTTTTTTGTTTTTTTTTTTTAGATATAAACAAAAACAAAAAGTGAAAAAAGCAACACCTCTAAACAAAACAATTTAAAAAAAAAAAAATACATGAAAAAATTCATAAAATATAAATATGTAATAAATTTGTTGTTAATTTCTGTAATTTAAATTAAAAATTTAAAGAAAAAAAAATTTAATAAATAAGAAAAAATACGCAAGCAGAGTCGAAGGCGGAGATAAGGGATTACGCACGAGTTTATTCGCAAAAAATTCTTTATATCTTTATATGTGTGTATCA